ACTAAAGAAGTCACCTCGTACTCGTGGTGGGTCTGTGAGGTGAGGTTTCTGCAGACAGACTGAGCAACTTTGCCTTTCAAAATCCTTGTTGTCTGGTAGAAGAGGAGCTGGGTGGTTTGGGCTGTTCCCATCCAGGTGCTCGGAGGAAGATTCCTGGGAGTATCCCGGACTCCGGGTGCTGAGGGCACGTGTGAGCACTTTAAGGATGAGAGAAAAGGAGTTGATGAGCTTTGCTGGCAGAGATGTTGAGGTGTTGAAGGCAGGAAGAAGCAGCTGAGAGGCCAAATGAGGACAGTTTCCTCTGCAGTAAGTCAGCCAAAGGCTAATGGGAAGCAGAGTGAGGGTTTTCCCTGGAAAGGACTGAGACCTCCAGATGCCCAGAGCAGCTCGAGGGTCACTTGCCTTTGACCGAGATTTGTTGCTATTGTTGTCTGAGCTGTGTTGGCCTTGTTTTTCTTTTTGTTTGCTAAAAATCCCCTTTTCCGACTCAAAAGCCTGGCCAGTTATTTAATGGGCTGTGAGGCAGCAGCATATGGGATGATTTCTTTTCTTTTCACTACCAGACAGCTGGAAAACCCAGTGTGGATGGTACATGTCTGTAAACTGTCCAGGAGGTGTCAGGGAACCTCTGAGGCTGGAAAATAAATAGATTTTAGCCCAGAGTAACTGTTTCATTTTCATTCACTAAAGTACTTTCTGTGCTTAGCACAAAAATCTGAGTTTTGTGTTCCAGTTCTGTGGTTCAGACTGTCAGTTAGTGATGGTTGTTAGATGAGCTTCCCTGCTAAATTCGTGTACTATGTTGAGGGAATTATACTTCTCTGTATTTCCAGAAATAGGTTTTGGAATGCATTTGAAGGCAGTATCTTCAAAGACACACATTCTTTTTAAGCTGTTTAAAATTTTCCAAACTCTCCGCTCCTTAAAACTGCCAGCCACCATGATTGTCCTTTTGTAAGGATATAATTTGCATTATCTTGGGTTTTTAGTGGAATCATTCCTGAAATACAGGGCATTCCTGCTGGAAGGGTGTGTTGGTTGCCCACATGTGCAAACACCACAGGCTCTGAATGTAAACATGGAGTTTTGGGGTTTTTTTGGTTTTTTGTTTTTTTTTTTCCACCTTGCACTGTGAGAGCAGCTGACTATTGTTTTAATGGCCTCTCTTAATCTGTGCATGAGGAATCCAAAGGGAATGATCCGGAGCTGTGAAAATCCAGTTAGTGGGAGCTGTAATCTCTTTACTGGGTTTAAGGAGTTGGAGTGACACTGAGACACCCTGCAGATACTGAACAGCAGAGATACAGTAATCACCTCGCCCGGGCTCTGCCCAGCCTGCAACTGAACCCCCTTGTCCCAGCAGAAAACCAGGAGACCCCAGGAAAAACCAAACCCAACCCAACCAAACGGCCTCCTCAGAGCAAAACAACCCCATCCAAAACACATGCTATTCTGAGGTGAAATTGAATTTCACATGAAAGTATTAAACTCTTTGTTCCACCTTGTTTTTTGGAATGGAACTCGCCTGCTATGGGCATTATAAAACATCCATTGCTCTTGATTGGGAAGGGAAGGAGGAGCATCTGTGCTTGAAGGAAGTATTTCTAATGCAGGTCTAATTTTGAATCTTTTTGTTATTTTGAATTGTAAAATAAGGTGAAAAACTTAAATGAAATAATCTAAATTGTTGATTAGTGACAGGACTAGAGGAAAGGGTTTTAAATGGAGAGGGGAGAGATTTAGATTAGAGAAGTTGTTCCCTGGGAGGGTGGGGAGGCCCTGGCACAGGTTGCCCAGAGAAGCTGTGGCTGCCCCATCCCTGGGAGTGTCCAAGGCCAGGTTGGAGCACCCTGGGCTAGTGGAAGGTGTCCCTGCCCATGGCAGGGGGTGGGACAAGATAACCCTTAAATTCCCTTCCAACCCAAAGCCTTCTGGGATTCCATGATTTGCTTCCAGGCTCTGGTTTCATCCTTGGCGTCTCCTGGTGGGAATGGGAAGATCCAGAGGAAGCATTTTAGCTGTGCTGGGGATTCTCCTGGATCCCGACTCGCTCCTCATCTGCTCCCAGCAGCTGAAGTTCTTGTAAGACAAGGCCCATTTAATGGTGAATTATGTTGGGAATGATTTCTTCCTGGGCTGAAATGGAAACACGAGCTCAGTCCATTCTCTCCAGATGGATTAAGGAATCGATCAGCGAGGGCTGACTTGGCTGCTCAGATCAGAACCTTTTGAGGCTGCTTAATGGGATCATGTCAGAGTGGGAAAAGGAGCTTTTCCATTGATTCTTCCAGGTGGACATTGCTCTGTGCTTTGAAAAATATTATGGAAATACAGACAATGGATTTATAGGAGAGGGTTTAGCAGAGTGATGGGGCATGGGGGGGACGTGTCTGTCTCTGCCATCTCCCTTTTCATTTCTTATTTCCTCCTTTTTTCCACCTCATTAAAGTAAAAACCTTCCTCTCCTGGCCACGTGAAATAGTGTTTAAAAAACCTGGATGAAATCTTGGGTAACGTTGGCACATGAGTTTCTACTGGGATTTAATTTATGGCAGGCCCTCTGTAAGTCAGGAGCATGAAGAGGGAAGAGGAGGAAGGGGTTTGTATGGAGTGGGAGCCATTAAATCTTATTTCAAAGGTTACAGTGTGTTTTGTATTGAGGAGGACAAGAGATTAAAATCCACCAGTTAATTTGTTTAAAAAACCAAACCAAACTTTAGACCCCAGAGCTTCTTGGAAGCTCTTTCCGTGAGCTTTAGAGGTTAGATAACAGAACTCTACTCTGGAGAAATATCTGTATTAAGATTAATTGGAAACATTGGGGGGTTTACTTGCTTATTTTTAATAAGGTACAGATTAATACGCAGTTTAGAAATGAAAAATAGTCACAGAAGCCCAATGTTGAATGTTCCATATTGCACCACGTTAACTTTCAAATGTTTTTCTCCTCCCACCAACTCTCCTCAGTTGTAGTTTCATCATGTAGAAGGCTGTCTGTAATATATAATTATAAAATCCTGACAGATTTTAGCTCTTGTTGCTGCATTTGAGTTCTGGCTTTTGGCAGCTTTTCCTGGCACTGCAGTTTAGCTTTCAGTCCTTTTCAGTGGTGGAAAGGCTGTGGGAGGAGCCCAGGACATGGGGGGGTTCCTGGGTACCACTGCACATCCCTCTCCAGCCCATCAGTCTTGGCTGTGACTCCAAACTGGGAGTGATCTGAAATGGAACTTTGGGACTCAGTTGTGTGTGTCCAGCAGGGAAGGTGCTGGGAATTAGTGGGGATGAGTACAGACAATATTTTCAAAAATATATTCCTTTTCAGTGCTTTTCAAAGCTGTCTTTTAAGCAATTCTGAAAATTTACCTTGCCTTGGATAAATGATCCTTCCAGTAGGATCACTTCCCTTTTCCTTCCACAACACCTTCTCATGTGGATAATATGCAGGGAAATACTTCTTTTAGGTGGTGTGGGAATAGACATTTTGGGAACACATCTCATCTGAGCGTGGCAGTTCTCCCACATGATCCCAGAGATATTTCCCTCTGCCAGGAGAAACGAGGAGCTCAGTTTTCCATGGAGCATCATCCTCCCTTTTCCTGGTGTGCCTTTAATCCCGCGCTGTGTTTGTGTAATGCAATAGAAATGTTGCTAACGTGATTAGACTTTTCTATCTTATTAGCTCCAATACTGAGCACAATAAAATGGAAAACTGTTTAAATGTTATGTTTAAGTGCTTGAGATAAGAGTTCTTGTAAATGAAATGTGATTACATTTCTGTAATAGATCTTCTCTGTCTGCTCGGACTTTGTTGAGCGATGTAATTCTTTGGGGATTGCTGGTTCCCAGTTTGATTTTTCTCTCTTTTTTTTTTTTTTTTTTAGTGTAAATGAAATGTGATTACATTTCTGTAATAGATCTTCTCTGTCTGCTCGGACTTTGTTGAGCGATGTAATTCTTTGGGGATTGCTGGTTCCCAGTTTGATTTTTCTCTTTTTTTTTTTTTTTTTTTTAGAACTATTACACAGCAGACAATGAGCAGAAATCTGTTGCAAACTCAGGGTTTCCTGTCTGAGGCAGCAAACCACGGCTCCCTAGTTTTCTTTGTGATAACCAATTTGAATTAAAGATAATTCCCCAACATCACCTTGAATTTCCATCTGTGTAACCCTGATGTTCTTAAGCGTTCTGCATTTACCTAATGCTCTGGGCTATTTTCCCTGAGCATGTATGGAAAACTGGGACTATCCTCCAACTGGAGATGATATGAATAACAATTGTTTGCTGATCTTCCCCTGTATCTCCCTGGATAACCTGCAGCCTGCAAAGGCTGAGGAAGTGGCAGATAGCTTTTGTCATCCCTTATCCGGGCTGTACACTTGTAAGGAAGAGCAGGGATAATCGCCTAAATCTAATTAGGGGTTAAAAGAGGCCATGACTGTGATGTGGCAGTGAGACACCTTACTGTAGCAATCCTGTTTGCATTAGAAAAATAAGGTTGTCATATTGATTATTCAAATGAGCTTATATTGGCCATGGCTCAATGGCTGCGTCGCAGCTGAAGCACTCGCAGGTCCCAGCTTTTCAGAGCGGGCCCACGCTCGGAGCATATTTGATGTGCTGTCTTGTTTGCTCCTTTAAGGGGTTTAAAACCAGGGCTTGGGGGAGTTCTGTGGTGAGGATGAAGGGTTTAAGTGACCACTGGAGAGGGGAGTGGAGCTTTGCTGGGTGGCTGTTAAACGAAGGCCGATGAATCTGCTTCGCATCTTTTATGGAGCGAACGGATCTTGTTTGGGCATTAATTGACGTTCAGTTCAAAGTCAAACACAGCTAAAAAGAGTCAAGTATTTGCATTCAGATCAATTCCACATCCAAGAGATGGAGAATTCCCTCGGCTCTGACTTTGGGGTCTGTGTTTTAATTGTTAAAAAATATCTACCTGGTACTGGGCTGTTCTGGCTTCTCAAATCTTTCTGAGGACTTGGCTTTTTGTCCTTCAACAGTCACGTCTGCTGATGTCCTGCAAGTGGATGAGGTGCTCCAGGCAGTGCTAATTCCAGCCTTGCTCGTTCCTCACGATGGATGATGTGAGTGCCATACATGGACTGGGCAGGAAAGCCTTTAAAAGGACCAATTTTTAATTCTTTTAAATTTTTTTTGGTGCCCCAAGAAATATGTGCTAGGCTCTGTCAGATGTACAAAGACTGGACATTTTACTGATGTTTTATCCTTGCTTTGTGCAGCTTCTGGCATTAAGATGTACAAGGAAGAGTCCACCTTAAATCCCACATATCAGACAGAGTTTGCAAATTTTTCTCCATGGTTGAAATTATTTCAGTTATTTTATGTACAGTTTGAACATTGTTGTTCACTTTAGGTGTTGGCAACGCTGTGTTTCTTTCTGCTGCTGGGTAAAAATACATATAGAGATAACTAAACTCTTTTTCCCTCTGTTGCACACAGGTACAAGGTTTTCAACTTGATTTTTAACTTTTTTGAGTTGATTCTCCCAGTTTCTTCCACTCTCTGGAGTTGGTGCTGGTGGAACAGTCACCCATCCTAACACCTGGGTGAGTGGAAGCCATAATGACCAGAGAAAGGCTATATATGTCTATATATTAATGTTGTATGTTATTTCTTTACGTTGTTGGAACATCCTGACCTGTTTTAAAGGACTGGAAATTATTATGCGCAAACATTGCCGGAACTTTCCAGTATCTTGCTGGAACAGAAAGTTAAGCAGTGGCTTATCCTGTCACCCATTGTGTGAGAGGCCACTCGGTCCTGGGCATTGTGTTGAACCCCTGAATGTGTTTGATTTCTTGGAATGGTTCCAGTTTCTGGCTCTTCTTTGCAAGACACCATAATTTTGTATATTAAAATTGCAACTTTGAGGCAAAACTGAAAATCTGGGAAAAGCCAATATAGGAGACTTTTTTTTTTTCCCCAGCAATATCGATTTGCTGTTTCTGTAGCTCACTCTGTGATTTTGCACAGTCATTCTGTGTTATGAATTTATTATATTATTTTTATTTAAGCCTGACTTTAATCTCTTTCAGAGCACAGGCACTCAATGTTCTCCACCACCTTCTGATCATAGTTAGCAAATGATTAATCTTGTTCTGATTAACATCAGCGAGGCTGTCTGGGATGCGTTTCTTACAAAGAGGGAAATAAGAGAACTATGGACAGTGTTGTAATAAAGTAGGGAAAAATCCTTAATTCTGGGAACACACAGAGAGGTGAAATTTTCTGTTGGTGAAGGGGTTGCTGCTGAAGTGGCTGCTCCTCTTTGAGAAGTGATAAAAGCTGGATTCCCACAGAACTGGGACGGGCTCTGGGACTGACTCTACCACCCTGAAGGCGTTGGCCTTACTTTGCTGTAAAAAAAGGCATTTTCATGTAAACCAAACCCACTTTGGGCTTGTCCTAGAGCATCACTGCTTTGGGAGTGGTTGGACTCTATGACCTTGAAGTTCTGTTCCTACCTTAGTGATTCTGTGACAACTAGAGGAGGGTCAGGTTGGACATCAGGAGGAATTTTGTCACAGAAAGGGTTGTCAGGCATTGGAAGGGGCTGCCTAGGGAGGTTTGGAGTGCCCATCCCTGGAGGTGTCCGAGGAAGGCCTGGCCATGGCACTCAGGGCTCGGGACAAGGTGGGCATTGGGCACAGGGGGCATCCATGGGCTGGGAGGGCTTTTCCAACCTCAGGGATTGCAGGAATTCCTTCCTGAGCAGCAGGTAGGTGAGTGCTGGAGGGGACATGTGACAGATAAAAGCATTTCCACTGCAGAGTTCAGTGTCCACACAGAGGGGGGTCAGCGGAGGTTCCACGTGTCTCCTTCCTAAAAGGTGAACTGAGTGGAGCTGAGCCAGGTACAGCTAAAAATACATGGATTAATGTGACTTTTATGGACCAACAGACATCCAACTCCAACTTATTTCCTCAGAGAAGGCCAAAGAGCAATGCTGGGAACTTGAAGTTGACTTTGATGGAGGCTGCAATTTGTTGGTTGGGTTTGTAACTCGAGGTGGTTGTTGGAGATTCGCTGGGTTTTTTGCAGATCAGGAATTCTTTTTTGGATCATCCACATTCCCAGGTCTTTCTGTATGCTCTGTGACTCCTCTGGAAGGATCTGGCCACTGATTTGTTCAGGGTTTTTTTTTTTGTAGAATGTTTCATTTCACCTCTAAGATTTGCAGGTACAACAGGAAGTGCTGGTTTTAATCCTCAAGCTTCAAATTGCTTAAGATCTAAGTTTTCTTGGAGCCTGCCATGTTCATGGTACTTAATTGCTTCAGGAATCTCTTGGCTTTATTTAAAAAAAATAACCTTTGAGGGAAATCTTGGCTGTAGAACGAGACATGTTTTATATTTTTGTCTTTTTTTTTTTTTTAAAAAAACTAATTTTGGTCCAATTGGTGGCAAATCAATTATGTGCAATACTAATATTTTTAATTTCGTTGAAGAAATGCCAAAATCCAAAATACTTAGCAAGATTCTAGTGGGAGGTGTCCCGGGGGTTGGAACTGGATGGTCTTCAAGGTCCCTTCCAACCCAAACCACGCTGGGATTCTGTGATTTCTGGTCTAGACATTGAACTTTCTCTGGGAAGGGCTGGGAATGAGAAGCGCCAAATAAAATAGATGATGTTGGTTTTTCGTGGCAGTAAAAGGTTAAAAGGATATTATTGAAAGCAAGAGAGTAAAATGAGTAAGACCAATGTGATGTGGTAATAACTTAATAGTGAGAGAAATGTGAAGCCTGAAGGAGGTTTTGGTGCAACTCAACGAACACAAAGAGTTCAGAGAGAGTTGGAAGGTTTGGGGTTTTTTTTAGGCTGTGACATTTTCTAAAAAAACCAATAAATTGGGATTTAGTGCCACTTGCAGATCTTGCCACGTCCTCTTCTCGCCACAACATGTGGGACATCAAATTCTGGTGTTTTCAGCCCAGGCACATCCTGGATCCATCTGTTGCTTCTGGGGTTCCTCTTGCAGAAGATGTGCAATAAACACAAGGCCAAAAGCAATTTCAACTTTGATTAATTGTTCTCAGATAATAACAGACTTGTATTTCATGTAGTCAGAGGCCATTGCAAATTACTGGAGAAAGAAAGGACAAATAACCAAGGTACAGAGCGATTGGTGTTGGGTGTCTAGAGCTGCTGTGCAATTAGGGGAGAGTTAATTGCTCCTGGATTCCAGAGAACTCGTGGCCTTGTGAGATAATTGAGGAATGAGCCTGTTCCTACAGTCCCCACGGGGCTGGTTTAGGTTCAAATCCTCTGACTTGGTCCAAGCGGAGCAGATTTTTTTTTTTGGGCGACTCTGAAGGTCTTTATTCTTGAATTCTGAAATATTGAGATCAAGATGCACTTGAGTTTCTGACCCTTGTTATTCTGAGTATTTGAAAGTGCTTTTACAGCCTTTGGTGGTTTGGTGCCCACAGGTGACCAGCCTTCTTTTGGACTGAGTGCTGTAAAAACCAAGGTGGGCACTGCTGTGCACGGGGCCACTTCAGTGATCCCTGTCCATCTCCTCTTCTCCCTGACTCCAGTTTAGCTGGAATGAGTTTGATTTGGGTTTTTTTCCCTCACCTTTTCATTACTTTTAAAGCACTTTCAGGTGATTTTTGTCACTGTCTGTTAGGCTTGGGTTTGGTCAGATGTGTTTGAGACTTGGAACGAATTTTTATTTTCATTTGATTTTGATGAAATGTTATTTCTTTCCCTTTATTTGTGGCCAAGGAACTAATTTCCTCTCAAACCTGAACAACTTTACCTTTGTAAATTTTACACATTTCTCTTGCAGCACAGCCCAACGTGGAAGTTGTTAGGAGGAGATACAACTTCCTTACTGGAAGTTAGACTGGATTCTTGGAATGACTGTTTTACAGAAACCAAGAGACTTCCAAAGGTTTTCCTTAGGGCTACATTGAGTTGTGATGCAAAAAAAAAAAAATAAATGTTTAATTGTGAAACAAAGCCTGAAACTCAAAGCTTTTATGACCAGAAATTCTAAAAACTCTCTTACTGAGGGAGTCGAGGAGATAAAAACTAAATATCCTGAGATCAAGTGGATCTTTTCAGGAGAAGGAAAATTTTTACCTTGTCTAGGAATGGAAAGCTGTCTGACACTTCAACATATTTGAAACATTTAGGGTCTATTCCAAGTGTCTCCCTGTGTCCCTCAGGGAGGGAAATTCAGGCCGGATGAGAGAATGTCGAGGGATGAAACCAAAGGACCAAAACCAACTGCAGGGACACAAAGAGGGGCAGTGGAAAAACATTTCCAGTGGTGAGACCTAAAAAAGCTCGAGGTTTTTGGGCTAAAATTGGATCAAATGCAGTCCCAGGCAGTGGAATTTCAGCCAAGTGGTGCTTTGTGGGCTCAGCTGAGCTGAGCATGGTGCCCAAAGTGCTGCTCTGGCCTTAATGTCATGATGGAAACGTGGAACTACCTTTCCTTGCTCTTTGGCTTTAAAATCTGTGTGTCCTGAGGCTGTTGGGTCATCCTGGTCCTTCACCTGAGCTGTGGAAATCCATCAGTTGTTGGTTTATTGTTACTTGTTTTAATTAGTTGTTTGTTTTCCAGCAGTACCAGGGTCCTGCTGCTGCTGCTGGAGAGGGAGGAACCACATCCCAACTTGCTCCTGGGTTGTTCTGGGTCTCCCTCAGTCTCACCTAAAGCCCTGACCTGCTCTTTGAAATCCATCTGGCACTTCCTATTCATTTCAGCTCCAAGTGCAGCACCTTCATGGACCTTCCAAGGTCTTTCAAGGTCCTTCCGAAGTGTGGGAACTTTTAATTTTTATTTTATATTTATTTTCAGGAAGCAGAGACAGTGGGGCAACAAAACCAACTGTTTTAGTGCTACACAGATAAAGGCATATCAGGTTTGGGTTTGTTACTCTGTGGTTTTTTTTTTTTAATTATAAGAACATCTCTGTGTTTAAAACCTTTGAAGAAACTTGTGAAGTGCAAAGAACAAAACCAAAGCTGATAAATTCTGGTGTTTAGATTTCTCATAAAAGAAGCCCTTAATTTAAAGGAGTATTTGCCTGAGGGGCAGATGGAAGGAGTTTGTCTGACTTGTAGTGATGGGTTATAAAAACAATCAAAAATCTAAGTTATGCAAATAGGATAGAAAGTGATGGGTGAGGTGAGTCCCTGAGTTTGAGAAAAGTGATTTTGCTGATTAAAAAGTAAATTAAAAATATGTACAGCTGTCTTTGCCATTGGTTATGGGTAACAGACCCAAGGCTGGACAAGCTGAACTCAGTTCAGGTATTAACTACAGATATTAGCTTTGTTCTGGGGGATTAAAGAAAGAAAGGAATTAAAGAGATTTGTGATTTGTTTCCCAAGTTAATATAAAAGCTTTAAATTGCCACTGTAGAATCACTAAGGTTGGAAAAGACCTCCAAGATCATCAAGTCCAACCTTTCAATATGAATATTCAGTAACAGAATGAGCATCTGCACGATGTAACCACGGTTTTATCTCACAATATGAATTTTGAGCAATGAGCCAGAGCAAGGAGTGTTTTATTCACAGAGATTGGTAGAAAGTTGGGTGCCAGCAAATAAGTTTTAAATGCTTAATAAAGTTCTGTAAGATTTTCTCCTTTTGGGAAGAGTTCACAGCGCAGTCTTAAAAAATAATAACAATTAATCCAGATCAATCTCAACCAGGAGATTGCCTGGTTTCAGAGGCAGAATGCCTTTAATTGGTAGGTTTATTTTGATTGGATATTTAATGAGGAACTGGTTAATGTTTCCCTAAGCACAATTTTCATGAGCATTTACTATTTTTTGACGAGTTTTTCTGAATTCAGACAGAGATGGAGCCGTTCAAACGCGGTGCTGTCTCAGTGTGGTGTAAAGTATTTACCAGAGATTATTCCAGAACTTGGTTAACGTGCACAGATAGTTCAAAAAAAGCCCCCCAACTAACCCCAAACTAAACAGGCTTGAGGTTTCCTTGTGGGATTTTTTTTTTTTATCACCAGACTGAGGGCCTGAAGGAATAGAGGAAGTGAATGGCCACCAATGTATCCAAATATCTCATTTTGCCTCCGAGCAAGTGCCGGCAGATAAATGCCCATAAAGGGATTTCTTCCTTAAGCCCCATGGATTTTTTTTTTTTCTTTTTTGCAACTTTTTGTGCGAGTTAGAAATGAAAACCATTCATCCAGTGCCCCAAAGAAGGGCCTTATTGAATGGAATAACAGTGTAATGTACCATTGAAGGCAGGATTGAAAGTGATTATCTTGTTAACTCTTGACAGTTCCCGCCAGCTTGAAATAGAACTGGCAGCTTGATTTGCAAATGAATTAGAGCTTTTTCATTTGCTGCCAGGATCATCTTTTTATATTCTGATATGACAGATGCTATGTTCCAGCCCTTTGTTTCCCCTCACTTTCCTGCTTGCAAACCAAAAACAAAAGATTACGATAGTCGTTTTATTTGCATCTTTTTTCTCTGGGAGTTTTATTCTTTGTCTGGAAGTTTTTAAGCTCCGATTTTTTTTTTTGTTGTCGTCGGAGAATGGCATTGTTCCCGCGGAATAAAATTTCATTAGGTTAAGTACAGTAGTAATTGGGTGAATGAGGGGGATTTAGAAGCTTTCAGAAAATGGAAAATTGATTGTAGTCAAATTGTTTTAGTGCTTAGAACGTTTGAATTTCCTCCCTGCCTTGCACTCGCGGTGGATATTCCTCAGTTCCACGAGCGGCGGGGGGGGGAAATCTCCCGGTTCCAATATTTATCCTGCCAGTATGCAAATAGAAATACATGTGTAATTAGTTCCAGGCTTAATGCTGATCAACTGTGTTTATATTCCAGAGCCATCCAAACACAGATGGGAAGGTGCTGGGTATGATAATTACTGTGCACTCTTTCTATGTTCCTCATTAACCTGTAACACTCGCTACTAGTCCGGAGAGTTTTTCCTGTAGTTGTGCTTCCCAACATTAAAACTTGCTGGGCTTTGTTTAATATTCAGCCCAGCGTTCTGGGCATTTACAAAGCTGGGCTTTTTGCTACTTTTCTAATCTGTTTTGTACTTTGAGGCTAATTAGCAACACTTCCGACCAGCGCCGATGGCCGTGCTGGAAATGTTTTCCTCCACTTTCACCTACAGGATGTGTTTTAATTGAATATCTACAAAATAATATTACAGAGAAGGTAAACCAGGCCAAAGTTGTCTAATTTATTTAAGGCTGGTTAACGCAGACAGCGACATTCTGAAGCCTGATGCTTCATCATTTGTGTTTGCTGGGAATGCAAACGGGGATGAAGGAGGTTTGGCTCCCAGGGAAGGGAACCCTGAGCGTGGAACAGGAGGGCAAAACCCACCCAACCAAAACCCAGGGGGAAAAAGCAACCAAACCTCACTCTGTGGGTGAAAGCTCCAAGGAAAACTGAGGGGGGGAAAAAACCAACCAAACCCCACTCCACGTGAAAACTCCAAGGAAAATTCAGGGCAAATGCCAACCAAACTCCATTCCACGTGTGAAAACTCCAAGGAGTTGCATGTTCTGAGGTCCTTGCAGTTGCCAGGTTTAGTGAGGAGTGGCTTGAACTGGCATCTACAATAAAGAAATCTGCTTTGGTAATTCCTGGTATTCCCATATCTGACCTGAAGTCTTGATAAAGCCCAGTCAGGAGATTTTGGGGAGTTATTTTGGCTCTTGTTTATCTGAGAAATACATGGAAAGGAAAGGAATATTTTTGTAGGGTCTGTTTGGAAATACTGATTCTATCTTTGGTTTTCCCCCCTCTGTTTAGCTTCAGTATTTATTTCAGTTGCATAAAATCTTGGATTTTACTCTGTCAGTCGGGGTTATATATAAATATATATTTCCCCCTCTTGAATATTTGATAGGGTCTCTTGGGTAGCGATTTTCCTTCTCTCTAGGATAACATATTATGGAAATTGTTTCACCTTGTGTCCTGTTTGAAGTCCCTGGTTTTAGCATGATTCAATTTACCTTTCATTATATTCCACTGAGTTCCTCAGCAGTCCCAAGTTATTCCAATGTGTTTGTGTAGGGGGTGACTCCTGCTTTTCTTCCTGCTTTTTCTAAGTGACCTTCATATGATCTCCTTGAGTCTTTATGGCATTTAAATTTATTAGTAATTGGCCAAACCTCTTAGTGCTTTTTCCTGACAGGAGTGAGGGGTCCACTGAGCCAACCACCACCAGCTTTGGGGGCTTTCCAGGATAGTTTCCTGATATTTTCCTGATATTTTGAAGCTGATATTAAGTAAGGGAGAACAAGATTCCAGTCTTTTTGGAAAATATTGGTGGGTGTTTTTCCTAGCAGGGTGTAGGATTCCCCAACCATTCTCTGCTCTTGGTATGTTTTTTGTGCAGAAAAGATTAGAAAAAGCAGGTGTGGTCTCAGAAATTGTGAGATATTGGCCTTTAACCTCAGTGCTGGGAGAGATGATCTTGCCACAGGTTAGAAATGGGGGATTTCCATGTTCTGAGAGAGAGAGGAGAGAGTTACCAGCTGGTGGTGATGCCATTTGCTGGGATTTATTCAGAAATTTGGTGTATTAACAATGCTGCTGGATTAAGGGGTGTTATAAGTTCCTTATCTGAGCCTGATTTAGATGAGTTTGATCTTATTTACCTTTGTCTCCTTTCAACACTGAGTGTAGGGAGGAGGCAGAAGGTACCAGGCCACCTCTCCAGGTGGGTTTCATGTGTTCATCTCTTTTTGCTTTGCCTTGTATTGGTGAGTGTTTAATATCTTATCACCTGCTGAAGTTCCTGAAGAGATTCAGCTGTTTGTTTTGAGGTTGTTTATCTAGAATGGTAGATAAACATCTAAATAATTGATCTGAAATAGCAGATAAAAGTGGGGATCGATAACATGCCAAAGAAAAATAGGAGGTGTAGGGGCTGCTCAGAGGAAGATTTGTAGGGAAGGCTGAAGGTTAAGGGGAGGATAAAGAACAGGAAAACATGAGGTTATTCCAGGAGCACCTTCTGCTGTGAGGCTCTTCATCCAAGAGGAATAGTGGGACAAAAGGGGATTATTTCAAGTGATACCTGACAGCTTATTGACAGCATTATGTGATGTGCTTGTGGAATGATCCAGAAATATTTGAAGGGTGAGAGAGCTCTGTGAGAATCATCTGTGTGCGCTTGGGATGATGCTCCTGATCACCCCTGACATGCTGGCACTTGGGAGGGGTGGAGTGAACAGGCCCTTGTTGGGAGGGTTTGGTGGCCTGACCCCAAACGCTGGGTGTGACCTTTGTGCTGCAGCTCCTCGTTAGTGTTGAGGACCTGGGGGGTTTCTGCCAAAGGCCTTGCTAATGATGAGGTGATTTATTGATCCCTTTGGCTCCCCAGGGGCTGAATCAGCCACTGGGATGTTTAGGGTGGAGTTCAGGCCACCAGGACGGGCAGGGGCTGGAGCAATTCCCTGGGAGGGTCCTGAGGGACTGGGGAGGGTTCAGCCTGGACCAGAGGGGGCTTTGGGGGCACCCCATGGCACCCACCAGCCTGAGGAAGAGGGAGGTCACCGAGGAAGGGGATTTGGGCTCTTTGGAGTGGCTTGTGGTAGGAGGAGAGATGCAAAACCACAAGTGTGTGGAGCAGAGAGAAAGGAAAGATGCTCCCAGTGAGGACCCTGCATCAGCAGGACACGTTCCTCCTGGAACTGGGCTTCCAAGGCCAGCCTGGATAAGACTCTGCACCCTCCAGAGGCCCTTCAACCCAAATTATCCTGTAATATCCATAGGTACGGACAATCCATAGAATTATTCCATGGCCTATGGATTTGAACCCAAAAACCATGGCAAAGAAAATGTGTGTTAGATCTACAGTTCCTGGGTGAAACTGCTCTGAATTTGCTAACAAGTAAATTTTATGTGATATCTTAGGCTACTTTATAATACCTAAATTTGGGTATTTCAAAGACATTGC